CAGAGCCCGCGGGGGGTGGGGGGGCGGCACAGACACACACACACACAGCTACCCCCAGCCCAGTCTCTAAGGTGCCACAAGTACTCCTGTTATTCACACGGACACACACAGCTCCTCACACCAGCAGGCCTGGGACGCCCCTCTCCGGGGGCAGAGCCCCGCTCGGAGGCGAACACAGTCCCGCCCCTGTCGCCGGGCGCGGGCGGAGCCTAAGCCCGGAGACACAAAGCCCTCCCCGGACTGCAGGCGGAGCCAGGCCGGCCAGCGCGGAGAGCGGCCCGCCCAGCCGGCTGCCAGAGCAGAGGCTGCAGCCAGCCGCAGGCGGGAGCCCTCGGAGCAGGACCCCCAGCGCCCCCGCACTCTCCCCGGCCGCCGGGGGAGCCCAGGTCCCGGAGTAACTCGAAGGGCGCAGCCTGCTCTCCGGGCCACAAGGGCCTGGAGCACAGCCCGGTGCTGCAGCACAGCCCGCCTCTGTCCCCCGTTAGCCTGGGGGTGCCGGAGCAGCAGGTCCTCCGTGAGCTGGTGGCTTAGCAGCACCATCCTTTGCAGGGGGCGCCGCCGGTTCTTTGGCGGGGGCAGCCCTGGGGTGCGGGCTGAGCCCGGGCTGCAGGCTTTGTCGGACAGCCATCGAAGCGCCTTCGATTCGTGCGTGGCTGCGATTGCCTTTTCCTCCCCATTGGGGTTCCTTTAGCTGCTGCCCCGCCGCCCTGGGCCGCCGCCGCCTCCTGGGATGTGAGGCCGGAGGGATGGAGAAGATGGATGCAGGCAAATGGCAGCAGCGCATCTCCCGTTTGCAGAGGAGGCTCCAAGGAGCCGCAGCAATGCAGCGGTTCTGTGGTGGGCTCTCCGGGAGACCCGGGCTCTGCCGCGGGGAGACGGCAGGGCAGTGATCGCTCACAAACCCAGCCCTTTGTGTCTAGGAGGGTCTGAGCAGCCGCTGTGATTTGTATTAAATTCTTTTTTTCTGATGAAAATGGAGCCGGATTTGTTAATGACTCTCTCAGAGCCAGGGAGCAAATCGGAGCGGGCATCGCTGCTGACTCTGTTTGCCGAGCAGAATGGGAGGTATCTCATCATGGAGCAGAGGGGGCAGCTGCCTAGCCCAGACCTGGTGCTGGTCCCCAAAGAGACGCCCCCGGACGCCCCTTTGTTCCTGGGGCCCTCTTTACAAGAGAGGGAGAGTGGGCCAGTGGTGCTAGAGCAGGTTTTGGGGGAGATGAAGCTATCCGGGCTGGATCCTACGCTGTTCTCAGATAGGCCCATTGAGTATTTATACCGCATGGAAAAGCAGGAGAACGGCCTCTTGGACCAAGACACGACCGACCCAATCAGCGACCTGGAACAAGAGTCAGGTGCAGGTGATAATCATCATGGTTGCCCCCAGAGTGATTTTGATTTGAACCTTTCTCTGGTGCAGGGTGCATTGGCCTCTGCTCAGATCACAGATTTGGAGGAGCAGTTCTTCTCTCTCGTGCTGGACCAGGCGGTTTCTTCTCCTCTTCGGGATTTACAACTTAGGAGTGCTGGGCTAAGTCCAGAGGATTCAAACAAGGGAGAAAGCTTTCCTGAAAGCAGCGAAATCCTGCAAGCAGAAGGGGAGTTTTACTTAGGAATGGAGACCTCCCAGGAGGAGAACCACTCTGAAGGACTCACTCCAACTTCCCCTTGGACTAAAGAGACAGAAGATTACATATCCCAAAGCTGCCAGGAGATACTTTCCTTAAGTACCCAGGATTTGTCCCAGATTGACAAGGAGATGGACCTCTTCCCCACTTTCCATTCCTCTAGCAACCTGAGCCAGCCCCCGGAGTTTGCCCAGCCTGATTCCATAACTAATGACTCTCCAGGCTGTCAAGAAGAGGAGCCCCGTCTCCGAGCTGTGTTTGATGCCCTAGACCGAGATGGGGATGGCTTTGTGCGGATAGAGGAGTTTGTTCAGTTTGCTACAGTCTATGGCGCAGAACAGGTAAAATTAATTTATCAGCTGTATTTCACTTAGGCCGAGGTGCCTGTAAATGGTTACTCTTTTCACTCCTACTAAGGAACATTCTGTTCTGTTGTTCAGGTATGTTTCTCTTTTGTGCATAAAAATGGTGTATATGTATTGTAAGTCTTATGTACTATAAGACTTCAGTATTACATCTCCTATAATGAACTTTCAATATGTATTTTCCAGCAGTGTGTTTATAATAATGTTAAGGGTCTGCCTGAGGTCCCACTTCTGTAGTCCTGACTTGGGCAAAGCTCCTGTTGACTTTGATCAGTATCATAACTCTAAGGGAGGGGGGTCAATAAATTGACAAAAGCCAGCATTACACTTGCACAGTACTGAGCTCCTCCTGTTGTGCTTAGGTATTGTAGCATGTGGTATTTCATGTGAATTTTGGACACAGACTGATACCCTTATTTTTAAAATGTCTTAAATTGCCACTCACATTTCCTATGATTTCTGGTCCTTTCTCTTATGTTTTGATGGGGAAAATTTTGTTTGCTAGTTATGGGTTTGTAGGTCCTTCTTACTTTGCATCTGTTTTCAGTAGCTTGACCTCTCAGCCTGATGTATTTAAACTGTTATTATTTAGAGAACCTGTAATATACCCATACCCCTCTTTACTTGTAGAATCTCTGAGCGAGTGGGCTCCCAGCTCTATGAAAGAATTTGTTGATGCATTAATTTATGAACCCTGCCATTGCATTTTAGACTTCTTTGCTTATCCAGGCCAACTTCTTCAGATTATTCATATAAGCCGAGTATTTAGGTAGAGTGTGTACAATGGGGCCTTGATAAGCTTGTATCTTTCTGGGTTTCTTACACCTCAGAATTGTGGCAATTGGTAAACACTTGCATGTGTATCATATAAGGCACCTTCCTGAGGAAAATAAAGTAAAATTTGACAACTGGGAGTTTTGAAAGTTTGCTTGTTAGAAATGAGATTGAGGCAAATAGTAAAAAGTAGGTAAAGCAGTGCTTCAAATGGACCAAAGAAGAAAAATCAAAATGAGCTAAAGTTCAAGCATATGTTTGCTAATGAAGTGTTATGAACCCAATTTAACTTAGACCATTTGCTAGTGTTTGTGGACACTATATTTCCTGTATCTGCTTGCTCTTGTTAAACACAATAGTAGGTATTAAGTAGCTCAGTTTTTGATGGGTACAACTTTTTTGTGTGTGTGTGTATCTCTTGTTTCTATTGTACTGTGGTGAGTTTGGATTTTGATATATCCCTTTGTAGCAGATCAAATGTGGTATGGTGTAATATGAAGTCACCTGGTATGACCCAAAATGTGAATTAGCAGCTGAGGTTTCCTACAAGGAGGAAGAAATTAGTCAGTTGCTATCTCATTTTTGGTTTGTACTGATACCTACATAAACCTAAGACTGTATTCAAAATGACATTATATGCACACAAAAATGCATCTTAAAAAGATTGAGTATTTATCCAGTGAGGAGATTTACCTGGTCTTCTGTATGGACCTGGTACATAAAGATATAATTCGCTGTGAAACAGCACACAATATGTTGAACCTCTGGGGAGAGAAGTTGTCTGTAATCTTGTTTTCTAATTGTTTTTAGAAAAAATATCCATATAAAAGCAGCAACAAGCCAACATGTCTTTTCCTTGTAAGTCACAAAAGGGAAGGGAACTCAAGTCTGTGATATACTGGGTTAAGGGATAGTGTGTAAGGGTACGTCTACACTACACGATAAATTCGAATTTAGCTAATTCGAATTTGGTAAACCGGTTGTATTAATTCGATTGTATGCGGCCACACTAAGCACAGTAATTCGGTGGTGTGCGTCCATGTACTGGGGCTAGCGTCGATTTCTGGAGCGTTGCACTGTGGGTAGCTATCCCATAGCTATCCCATAGTTCCCGGAGTCTCCCCTGCCCATTGGAATTCTGGGTTGAGATCCCAGTGCCTGATGGGACCAAAACATTGTCGCAGGTGGTTCTGGGTACAGCCTCACCCCTCCCTCCCTCCCCCCCTCCCTGCATGAAAGCAACGGACGGCAGACAACCATTTCGCGCCTTTTTTCCTGGCTGAACGCAGCAGACTCCATACCACGGCAAGCATGGAGCCCGCTCAGCTCAAGACAGCAGTCATGAACATTGTAAATACCTCGCGCCTTATCGTACAGTTTATGCTGAACAAGAACCTTGAAAACCAGGCAGAGAGGAGCAGGCTATAGCAGCGCGGCGACGAGAGTGATGAGGACATGGACATGGAATTCTATCGAGCCGCGGGACCCGGTGCTTTGGAGATCATGCTGTTAATGGGGCAGGTTATAGGCATGGAACGCCGATTCTGGGCCCGGGAAACAAGCACAGACTGGTGGGACCGCATAGTGTTGCAGGTGTGGGACGATTCCCAGTGGCTGCGGAACTTTCGCATGCGTAAGGGCACTTACATGGAACTTTGTGACTTGCTTTCCCCTGCCCTGAAGCGCCAGAATACCAGGATGAGAGCAGCCCTCACAGTTGAGAAGCGAGTGGCAATAGCCCTGTGGAAGCTTGCAACGCCAGACAGCTACCGGTCAGTGGGGAATCAATTTGGAGTGGGCAAATCTACTGTGGGGGCTGCTGTGATACAAGTAGCCAAAGCAATCACTGAGGTGCTGCTACACAAGCTAGTGACTCTGGGGGATGTGCAGGTCATAGTGGATGGCTTTGCTGCAATGGGATTCCCTAACTGTGGTGGTGCGATAGATGGAACCCACATCCCTATCTTGGCACCGGAGCACCAGGGTACCCAGTACGTAAACCGCAAGGGGTACTTTTCAATGGTGCTGCAAGCACTGGTGGATCACAAGGGACGTTTTACCGACATCAACGTGGGGTGGCCGGGAAGGGTTCATGATGCACGCGTCTTCAGGAACACTAATCTGTTTAAACGGCTGCAGCAAGGGACTTACTTCCCGGACCAGAAAATAACCTTTGGGGATGTTGAAATGCCTATCGTTATCCTTGGGGACCCAGCCTACCCCTTAATGCCATGGCTCATGAAGCCATACACAGGCAGCCTGGACAGGAGTCAGGAGCTGTTTAACTACAGGCTGAGCAAGTGCAGAATGGTGGTAGAATGTGCATTTGGCCGTTTAAAGGCGCGCTGGAGATCGCTACTGACTCGCTCTGACCTCAGCCAAAGAAATCTCCCCATTGTTATTTCTGCTTGCTGTGTGCTCCACAATCTCTGTGAAAGTAAGGGGGAGACCTTTATGTCCGGGTGGGAGGCTGAGGCAAATCGCCTGGCTGCTGATTACGCGCAGCCAGACACCAGGGCGATTAGAAGAGCACACCAGGAAGCAGTGTGCATCAGAGAAGCTCTGAAAACCAGTTTCATGACTGGCCAGGCTACAGTGTGAAATTTTTGTTTGTTTCTCCCTTCATGAAAACCAGCCCCCTTCATTCTCATTCATTCTCTGTAAGCAACCCACCCTCCCCCCAGCTTTCTTTCAAAGGTAATAAAGTCACTATCGTTTAAAAATCATGTATTCTTTATTAAGTGATTA